AATAATAAGAAGAGTAGTCTACACCACAATATGATCCAAACAATACCAAGGACAATTAGTAGATATTGCGGTGTAGACTACTCTTCTTATTATTTGTCCTTTGAGAGTATCTATTGAAAGCAGACAATAATTTCTATCTAACTTATAAGAGTATCTATTGAAAGCAGACAATAATAAACCCATCCCCTCAATATATCCACCGTAAATTCCAATGAGGATTTTTAACATCTAAAGATTGAATTTTCAACATAACTAAAAATAAACAAAATAAACAGCCTTCTCCAAAATTCTCTAAAAATTCCATTAACCTAGATTCATCCGTAGCTCAAACTCAGTAAAACAGAATAAATCACACCCTAGATGTTATGGTTGAGTTTCAACTCTCAACCTAAATCACAATCAAACACAGTAATAAACCAGAAATTGAATAAAACTCAACACCCAATGGATTAATATGTAACAAAGTGTCGGTTACAGTGAGAATTTAAGAGAAACTGAGAAGGTAGACTTGAAGAAGAAGAAAGGAAGAAGGTAAGAACAGAGAAGAGGGAGAAAATGGAAATCACGCACAAAACATTCACACTGTTCTGTCTCTTCTCGTCAGGTAATATAACAGCCAAAAGCGAGTTTTTTCATAATGCAACTTAATAAAACGTAAAATATGAGTTGACAAAAACAAACGATGCTCCTGCCCTTTTGAGTTGTATGGTTGCTTTCTTTCCTCTAATGCCTGTGTTGCTCCCTATTTCTGGGATTCCTCTTCTTTTTTTTTTCCCAATTCAACTGAGTTCCCTTCTCTTCGTAACATCCCTTCCCCTTAAAACAACCTTGTCTCCAAGGTTGGAAGTCTGGGAATTTGGCTTGAATTTCTTTTGAATCCTCCCATGTAGCTTCCTCTGGGTTGGAATCCTCCCAGTGTATTAGCCATTGAGAACGGGCTCTACCATTTTTATTGATTAACCTAGCAGAAAGGACCTACAATGGTTGCTCGAGGTCCTCAACTCCTGTGTAATGTTTCGGAAGATCATATAGGCGAACCTCTTTCTCTCCAATCTTCTTCTTTAGTAACGAGACATGGAATGTAGGATGGATTTGGGATGAAATGGGTAATTCCAGTTTATAGGTTACTTTCCCAACCTTCTGCACTACCTTGTAAGGGCCATAATACTTTGCAGATAGCTTCTTGTTGGATCTCCTGGCTACAGTTTGCTGAGCATATGGATGCAGCTTTAAATATACCCAATCCCCAACTTGGAATTCCCTTTCGCTTCTATGTTGATTTGCATAATGCTTCATCCTGACACTGGCTTGGGCAAGGTTCTCCCTTAGCATTTTATCGATCTTCTGCCTTTCTTGCAGAATATCTTCAACTGAAGCAATGTTAGTTTGCTGATAGGGTCCCAAGGCTTGTGGGGGGTTTGATGCCATATAAGGCTTCGAAAGGTGTCATTCGAATAGAGGTATGCAGGGTAGTGTTGTACCACCATTCAGCTAGGCTAATCCATTTAATCCATTATTTTGGTTGCTTGTAAACCATGCATCTTAGGTACATTTGAAGGCATTGGTTCAATCTTTCTGTCTGCCCATCAGTTTGTGGGTGGTAGGCTGTGCTTAACTACAATTTGACCCCCAAGTGTTTGAACAATGCTTGCCAGAACCCACTGGTAAATATCTTATCTCTATCCGTAACAATGCTTTTAGGCATTTCATGCAACCTGTAGATGTTATCTAGGAATAACTTCGTGATGGTTGGGGCTGTGAAAGGATGTGAGAGGGTTAAGAAATGAGCATATTTGGTGAACCTGTCCACCACCAGCAATATCACGTTCTTTGATCCAGAAGTAGGTAGCCCCTTAATGAAGTCCATGGAAATATGGCTCCAAGCATATTGTGGTATTGGTAGGGGTTGAAGTAATCCTGGGTAAGTTATATGCTCCCTTTTACACCTTGGTACGTGTCACACTCCAATACCTCCTGTTTAATGTCCATGTTCATTCCAGGCCAGAAGAAGAATTGCTTAGCCCTGTGTATACTTGCCTGTATTCCTGAGTGTTCCCCTTCCTGGGATGAGTGAATGGCTGCAATCAGTTTCTTCCTCACTCATCTCCCAGTACCAATATACATCATTGACTTGTATGTGAGAAGTCCATTCCAAAACTGGTAATCTGGCTCCGTGTCTTTATTGAGTAGCACAGCAGTGATTTTACCTTCTGCTTCTTCATCTCCTTTATAGCTAGCTATTACTTCTTCAACCCACATTGGAGTGACCTCACTGATTGCCAAGCATTCAACCCCTTTTTCTTCTCTCCTGGATAAGGCATCTGCCACCTTGTTATCAACACTCTTTTTATAATGCATTTCATAACTCAATCCTAAGAGTTTAGATATCCACTTCTGCTGTAATGGAGTAGTGATCCTTTGCTCAAGTAAGTACTTGAGTGACTGATGGTTTATCTTAATGATAAAGTGGTGACCTTCTAAATAGTGCCTCCACTTTCCTACCGCAGTCACCAGAGCTAGCAGTTCCTTCTCATAAATTGATAACCCCAAATTCTTGTTGCTTATTCCCTTGCTTAGGTAGGCTGTTGGCCTCTTGTTCTGCAACAACACTGCACCTAACCCCCCATAGCATGCATCCATTTCCACAATTAATGGGATGGAGAAATCTGGTAAAGCCAGTACTGGGGTAGTACTCATAGTATCCTTTAATTCTTGAAAATCCGATTCAACCGCCTTTCCCCAATGGAAATTCTCCTTTTTAGCAATTCAGTTAGTGGTTTGGCTATGGCTCCATATCCCCTTACGAACCTCCTGTAATACCCANAAATTGAAAGTTAAAGTAAAGTTTGCGGAAAAAAGAAATATTTGAGACCGCTATTGCAATTATTCCTTTCTATAATTCCCGACAATTGTTGATTCTCAAAAATATCGAATCAAACCACCCCATATCCAATCCCAGACATTAGACCTTTATAAAAAAAAAAGTAGCAACACGATAATTTTCAATTTTTTTTAGCACAACTTTGTCCTTTTTATACAAAAATTGCTGTGTTTAATACCGAAGCACGCCTTTAGTTTCTGTATCTCTTTTCTGGCAGAACATACGCTATCTCCTCAGAAGCCCTAGACGGTTCTTCCACTTTCGACCATCTAGCTCAAAGTAGCATCTGGAGATACTTCATTAGGTAATTTTGTACTTAAATTTGCATTGAACAAACAAATTACGCCTAGTTTACGAGAGAATTGTTGCTTATCGATTATTGATTTAAATCACTTTGCTTTTATTAATATATAATTAACGAGTTTTTGGGTGATTGCTATTTCGAGATGCCAGTTGATAAATCGGGGCATTTATTTGTTAGTCCTATTTCATAAAATATATCTTGTTCTAAATCATTGCAGGTAAATTTCAAGGAACCATGGGGATTATAGAAAAGATCAAAGAAATTGAAGCCGAGATGGCTCGAACCCAGAAAAATAAAGCCACTGGTAAGATGCATTTTAATCACCATTTCTTGTGCAAGTGGTTTTTTTTTTTAAATCTAGAGCGGCCGTAATGACTATGACTTATGGGAATGTTTACACGGCATTTAGTAACACGGAGTTACGGCCATATAATTGGAATTTAGATTGATAATTAAGTTTTTGTTATGGTTGAGCTTCAACTCTCAATCTGGAACACAATCAAACACAGTAATAAACCAGAAATGGAATAAAACTCAACACCCAATGGATTAATATGTAACAAAGTGTCGATTACAGTGAGAATTTAAGAGAAATTAAGAAAGTAGACTTGAAGAAGAAGAAGAAGAGAAGAAGGTAAGAACAGAGAGAAAATGGAGTTCTGCCTCTTCTCGTCAGGTAATATAACCGCCAAAAGCATGTATTTCCTAATGCAACTTAATAAAACGTAAAATAGGAGTTGACAAAAACGAACGATGCTCCTGCCCTTCTTGAGTTGTATGGTTGCTTTCTTTCCTCTACTGCTTGTGTTGTTCCCTGTTTTTGGGATTCCTCTTCTTCTTTTTCCCCCAATTCAGCTGAGCCCCCTTCTCTTCGCAACACCGCTTCTCCTTAAAACAACCTTGTCCCCAAGGTTGGAAGTATGGGATTTTGGCTTGAATTTCTTCTGAATCCTTCCATGTAGCTTCCTCTGGATTGGAATCCTCCTAGTGTATTAGCCATTGAGAATGGGCTCTACCCTTTTTATTGATTAACCTAGCAGAAAGGACCTGCAATGGTTGCACGAGGTCCTCCTATGTAATGTTTTGGAAGATCATATAGGTGAACCTCTTTTTCTCCAATCTTCTTCTTTAGTAATGAGACATGGAATGTAGGATAGATTTGGGATGCAACGGGTAAATCCAGTTTATAGGCTACTTTCCCAACCTTCTGGCTTCTGCA